CTTAGGTATTTTTGCTCACAAGGAGCTCACTACCACCTGGAAAAATGCCGCTTTGCACTGGGCAGCTCTCACTTCTGTGGGGTTGAAAGCTGCCTCCCCGGAGTTTGCGTCTGTGGAGCCCAGTGCTATGCTCACTCTGCCAGGACACATCAGATTCTCATTCCACATGACAGCCCGTCAGATATTTGGAACAGCAAGCATATCCCCTCAAGGCAAATGTCCCCAGACACTTTAACTGTTCTTCATATGATATTGTGTTAGGTCTGCTCATCAAACAGCTGGTGTAAGTAACTGAAACCGTACCCCATTTGATGACTGAATGTGATGTGCCGCAAACCGCCCCTGCGCTGTAACACCCTTCTTCATTTCCTCCTGTTTTACTCTTTGGTTCTCTCTTAAGCCACAGAAAAGGGCAAGTCTATATCATCACACAAAGTCAAATGCACACAAATACGCAATCTGCAAGTAAAAACCGAGGGCTTTAAAGGGATGGAGGAGGATTCCATACCTCTTGTGGATGCCTCTGAAATCACATATGGGCTAAATGATCCAGCCAACAAGAGACATAATGAAACCACTTTTTCTCCCCTCTGACTTTTCAACTAGATAAAGTCAGTCCACTTCCGGTGCCTTATCACTGTAACTTGAGCTGAGATCCTATTTCCATGTCTTCCCTGCCCGCACCGCCCCTCCCCCCCACTCCCAAAGACTTTCACGAAAGCCCCCTTTAACTCGGCCTGCACGCTGAGAAACAAGCAGCGTCCACCCCATGCCGCCCCTCCATCCCGCAACCTGCAGCCTTCGCCTTCCTGGTCCACCTGTTGCTTACCTGTCTCGCTGTCTCTCACCTCTGCTAGCAAGCCGGTAATGCTTTCTTTTTTTCCTGCTTTTCCTTTTCAGACCTCTCTGCCCCTTCTTCCTCCTGCCTCACTGCGTGGTGGGAAGTGTAGTTCTGGCCCCAGGTGTCAGGTTTGTGGCCTGAGAAAGCGAAAGGAAGGCGCAATCCCTCCCCGTCCCCTGGACCTGGAGCTGCCGCAGGGTTCAAAGCGCCAGGTGAGGCGCTGGCTGGCTTTGCCACCCAGCATGGGTCAGCCTAGCGGAAAGCCCTGCCAAAAGGGAATAGCTGGTTCCCTCAGCCAACTGCCTCTGTTCCTTTCTTCTGTCAATACTTACCTTTTCTTGCGCATCCTTCACTCTGAAGTTTTCCTGGTGTCCCTTGTTTGGCTGGGCCGAAGGTGGTTAGTTGAGAGAACATCGACTTAAAAGGAAGATCTAGATCTGGGTCTTGAGTAATTTAATTGTTTTGCAGATTTGAATACCTCTTTTTGAAGAGTCACTGAGAGAAAGGAAGTGATGCAAAAAGAAGGCAAAAAAAAAAAAGAAAGAAAAGAAAACAACTAAAAGAACTTAGACGGTGTATGGGAAAAAAGAGCTGAAAAAAACTTCTGTTTCACTCCCTCAAAAATACTACCACAGAGGGAAGGTTAATTTCTAGGTCTGAGGAAATCCAGAGGTTATCAGTCCCCGATGCTGGCAGTAGAAACATAAAGCTGAGGTGAATTTTCCTTTATTATTTTCCCGCCACAGAGTCTAGAACAGTAAGTGCTTCTCCGTGTCTATCGCAGGGACTAGATTTTCTCCACTGGGCAGGAGGCGACGTGTAGGCAGTAAAGCAGCATTATAGGCTCAAATAAGCAAAATAGAAACAGAAACATCCGGACTAATAAACTATTTAGATTGGTATTGTGCTTTCAGATTGTAAGCTGAAACTGATGAAGGAGTCATGAAATCAGTTTCAGTGGTTTGCAACCAGCATTTTTACGAGAAGGGATTCGGAAAAAATTTCAGGATGTGTCTCATGTAATAACATATGCATGTTGTACTGGGGTGGTGTGAAGTGTATTTCTCACTGTGGTTTGAGGTCCAAAAAGTTTGAGAAGCACTGAAATAGAGGACGAGTTAGTCACTATTGAAGAATACTGTTTCTGCGATTTCTTCAGATGCCCTTTAAAATACTTGTCTCACCTGAAATTCCATTTACACATTAGTTTTCAGGAACCTCTCTTTTGGGTAAGATAAACTGAATGAGAGCAGGTAGAGCAAGAAAACAAAAGTTACTACGAAATACTGCTGCAGGCTATCATTTTGAGAGTCACCGTCACACGCCTGCAACTTAGAAACGAATGTAGGTCAAGATCCACCCCAAATGTGTGAACAGGGCAGGAAATCAAACCTGTTAGGTGTCAGTGTCATGAGGTTAGGTGTCCAGATGTTTCATTTCTTCTGGTAATGGTTACCGTTAAAAAAAAAAAAGGTCAGCTGACTCAGACCCAACACTTGGAGAGTATCTAGAGGTAGAAATCAGATGTTAAAATGTCAGATGGTTATGGAACTCAAGGAGACAAGGAGAGAGAGATGTGCCTCTCTCCACCTGACCCTCTCTACCAAGTCACTGTAAGTACAAAAGCATAGCCTGGGCTATGGGGAAGAAGGCATTCTGACCCGAGTGGTGTGACACAGGATATATACATAAATACACGCACACACATACATATATGTACATATAACCGGCTCCATGAACAAAAACGTCTTTTTGTAGTTCTCTTATGTTTCAAGTTCCCAAGCCAGCAAGATTTGTAAGTGAGAACTTTGTAATTTTCTGTTTCACTGATCCCCTTCCGTTTGAGTTGTTTTTCAGAAACAGCAGACCCTCCTTACAATAACAGGATAACCACAAGCCCTTACACTACCCAATTTTTCAGAGAAGTCAAGATAAGTGGCATTCCACCACAAATCTAGCCCAAAGACCTGCTGAGCAACCTATTCCCCCAACCTGCAAGGGCACAAGACCAAAAGGATGACCAATATTAATGCCTAGTTCATTATACTACTAAATACCCTGGGAGGGGCTTATCCACCAGTTTTTGATCATGCAATGTACATGTCAGTGTGATTTCTCACTGCTTTTGTGCCTGACACGCTACCCCAAACATGTAATGATGCTTACTCACTTTATACATTATTCATTTCACCCCTAGATAAACCCCTGACCCCATCAATTGGGGAGGTGGATTTTTGGCAGTCCTTCTTCCTCCCAGTTGACATCCTTCACAATAAACTTCCTTTCTTCCTTGACAATCCTAATTGTCTCAGCAATTGGCTTTCTGTGCGGCGAGCAACTAAGCCTAGGAAAAAACTTCCTTTATGGGTTTGTTGATATACAACACACACATACATTTCACTATATGTGTATTTTTACCATTTGTAAGTATACAATTTAATGGCATTAAACAAATTGTTTTGCAACCAACGCCACCATCTATCTCTAGGACTTTTTCATCATTGTAAACTGAAACTCTATACAAGTTAACTACATTAAACAACTCCCCATTTCCCCTTCCCGCCAGGCCCTGGCAACTATGATTGTATTTTCTGTCTCTATGAATATGTCTATTCTAAGTACCTCATTTAAGTGAAATTATACAGTATTTGTCCTTTTGTGTCTAAGTTATTTCATATTTCACTTAGCATGTTTTCAATGTTCATCATGTTGTAGCATGTGTCAGAATTTCCTTCTCTTTTAAGGCTAAAAAAAAATTCCACAATTGGTGTGTGTGTGTGTGTGTGTGTGTGTGTGTGTGTGTGTGTGTGTGTCACATTTTCTTTATCCATTCATCCATCAGTGGATACTTAGGTTGAT